TTCGAACAAACCGTGCCAACCAGAGTCCATCACGCTATCCACTCGACCATCCGACCACCGCTGTACAATGAATGTCAACGACTCTGATGAAACTTCCTTGTGCTTTTGAGCACTTATTATATACAATTTTTGGTATTGGCTTTATTCCACGCTGTTTTCAACGTTCAGGTGAAGAAAACCTTCTATTGTGCGTCCACTTAACATAACGAGTGATATAAAGAACGTTGAAGGTGTGAAAACTCCGATTTCTGAAGAAATTTTTTCACTCCTTTTTTGGCATCAGAGGGCCGCTCAGAAAAAATGGAGCCTAGTTTTGTACTCCATGCATGTGCGCCCCTTTATCATGCAAAAACCCGTTTCGTAATCCTCTCGATTCGTTCTCACTTTCTATCAATATTTAAAGCAACAGTCCCAGCAGGGTTTTCACCTTCGACACTAATGGCGCGGAACGATGCGGTGGCCCTGGACAAGAACATAAAAAAGTGTGACTGAACAAAAAACTCACCTTAGAAAACCGCTAGAAAGGAGCTGAACAGCTTCGAAGTGGGCGTGGTTAACAATCGGCTCAATCAACCCCCTTGGCCGATTGGCAACCACGCCCACTTCAAAGCCTGTTCAGCTCCCTTTCTAGCGGCTTTCCTAAGGTGAGTTTTTTGTTCAGTCACACTTTTTATGTTCTTGACTAGGGCTAGCGCATCGTTCCACACCATTAGTGTCGAAGGTAAAAACCCTGCTGGGACTGTTGCTTTAACTTTGATTTCTTTTCTTTCTGAAGGCAGGCGTTACAAAGTGTGAAGCAGAGGTACCCGTTGGGCGGAATTTCGAGTGGAAGGGGGGGGGAAACGTAAATCCTGGTGCGCAATATTTGTTGTTGACGGAAGAGGATCAGTGTTTGAAGACTTACGATGTAAGATCATGTGAACGGATGTGCTGGTGAAGTTTTTAACAAGAGATAGCAAAATTTTCAAGAAGACATGAAGTGCGGCTAACTTTAGAAGCAGATTAAACATTCTCTTGCTATTTTAACCCACATGTTCTTTTGACGGAGGAAATTGCATGGCGCGAAGCTAAAGTAGTGCTCGGATGGTCTCGAAAGTGCTACAAAATCGGTCATAGTGGGAAGGCAGCGCTAAGGCCGATGTCATAGCCTGCAAACTCTCTGACATCGGCCTACTATGTAGGCGGTGAGGTGTTCGTATGAGCACTCCAAGGCTGTGGTGAGGGTTCGTATCGGGACTCCCTTCTAGAGGGTATCGTAAGCTCAGAAACTCACTAACGCACATTGTCCTTTCGGGATTCTCTCATTTCTACGCGGATCAAATATTTACAGATAACTTATTAACGGTGAATGACTTCTAAAATTAACCTTAATCTATTATCAAATTTCGAAGGAAAACGAGAATTACCCGGTTTTTCGTAGATCTGTCATCCACTTTTGTAGCAGCAATGCATCATCAGCACCCCAAAATCCTTGTTTACTGAAAAAGGTTGAGAAGTTCTCACTATGAAATCGCTGGGCCTTCACCAACTGTGTTAATTAATATTTTTGTACCGTGGCATTAGCAAGGGAGCGTTCATTATATTGATTTCATTAAAATGTACGTGTATCGAAGTTATGGCACATAGAAACGTCAATACGCATTCTATTGCTCTTGTCTTTCATTATCCTCAAGCGGATTTGACCAAAAACACATATTAGGGCGAGCTATTTCTCTTAGAGCGTTCATACTTTAGACAGTTGACACACACGCTGTTGCGCGCATGACCCGATACTTCGCAATATGCAATGTTTCGGCCAGAATTCTCAAATTTAGCCCCATTCACCACAGATGTTTGTCTTGCCAATCCAGGCTAGATTTTATCGCAGTTATAGAGCAGTAAAAATTGTTCCGATTTTCGCATCTTCTTCCGGTTCTGTTACTCTCTACTGCTACACTGTCGAGTTCCGGTTTCCGAAACTTACAATGTCACTTCCGTTGATGTCATTCAAGCCGTCTATCGCTGTTATGCTTTCCCAAATTGAAACATTCACATACTAATCACTGCGACGACAGCTAATCGGCGAGTGTTGCCATCGCGAGTGCTCTCACAGAGCAATCCGTATCGACTATAAAGGAAGCCGTGGAGGCGATTTTCTGGATTCATAGCTTGTTCTTGCTTCCCCGTCTAGGACTTTATTTGGGCGTATACGCATAACATATGTCATCGTTGTAATTAGTAGGATCATATCAAATTACCATGTCAATAGCCCTTTAGTTCTCAACGATTACAATTCTTTCATCTGTGCAGGGGGACCACTGGCGATTTCTGCTAGTACTTTTTGATTTTGCTTTCTTCAAGGCCAAGAATTATTCGATTGAGAAAATAATTGTAAATATAATAAATACCACTACATTTTCAATATTAAATATTATTCCATTCAAGATCGGCTGGAGCCATTGAATATGTAGTCGCAGGCTCATTATACCACTTCACTACCACAGTAATTGGTTCGCATCGCGTCATGCGTGAGGCGCGTCATAAAATCTCTCAAACTTTTCTTGGCCCATAAATATTTAAAAATGGGCGCTATCGCAATATACGGGGACATTCTCTATGAATGGGCTTAGGAAAGGCAAGAAAATTCGGGGATAGGGAGAGCTGCTCACTCACTCCTCCCTGCCTAAAGCTTACCAGGAAGGTCTTTCAGGGCGTGACAAGCTTTTTGAAAACGGTCTTTTGCATGATATAGGGGCAGATGCGGGGACCACAGAACCATGTTTAATTTTTCCTGAACGGCCCTCTGAATACCAGAAAAGGGGTCCCTAGTTCGATTCCTCTTGGTGACAAATTTTTGCATTTCGAGTTGACGTTCCAAAATTCGCGCAAAATGGAGTTCTGATTGTTCTGGTTTTTAGCACCATTGCGCGAATTGGCACTCCAATCTGCGAAATGCCAAAATTTTATAATGTATGCTATACGAAGTTATCGCATTATAGGACCTCCTTTTCTGGTATTCAGAGGGCCGTTCAGGAAAAATTGAACATGGTTCTGTGGTTCCCGCATCTGCCCCTATATCATGCAAAAGACCGTTTTCAAAAAGCTTGTCACGCCCTGAAAGACCTTCCTGGTTAGTCCTGTTTTTAACGAAGAGTAGAGTCTTTGTACGCAGTTTCAAATCCACCTGCCCCTCTGCTCGGACTTGTGCGCACGCCTGAAACTGTCTTCCCTGGGTCGTAAACCGAACATCTTTTGTACCACAATTTTTTTAAGCCCGCATATGCTTCGAGTCAATCAATCGTTCTATGCGACTCGGAGTTCCACATCGTGCACGATTGGTTCAAAATAATTCCCTTTCTTTCTAAGTACCGAAACTCACGGAAAAAACTCCGCCCCATTACCACAGAAAACGATACCTCAAAGGAATCTTCCACGGAAAGAGTGATCATTTGTCTTGTGTGTAGGATTAGTATTATCAAAACTAACGCTTATGTTCTGTTCCTCGTAAGGCTAGGGCTAAGGGTAATCGTTGTTTCTTGGTAATGCGGCGGAGCTTTCTCCGCGGAAATTCCTGATGAATACGGTTCCTCTTTCTACTCTTACTGTTCTTTTATGAAAACCCAAATCAGTTAAATGTTTATAATTAAAATCCCCAATCCTAATAAAATGTTCTTGACCATCTACCGGGAATGTCTAACCAACTTCATCAATACAATTTCCGCGTTCGGCCGACCGTCACCTGTGTTGATTGTTATAGGTCTTCCGCCTGGTGCATTTGAAATCGATCTCCACTCTTACAAACTCAATATTTACAATGATATGTCTGCTTTGCCAGTAGGTTGCCTTCATCTTTCACAAATAATTCAAGCACCGTCCCAGGGTTTTTAACCTTCGACACTAATGGTGTGGACGATGCGCTAGCTCCCCGGTCAAGAACATAAAAAGTGAACAAAAAACTCACCTTGGAAAGCCGCTAGAAAGGGAGCTGAACAGCTTCGAAGTGGGCGTGGTTGTCGGCCGAGGGGACTCCAACCACGCCCACTTCGAAGCCGTCAGCTCCCTTTCTAGCGGCTTTCCAAGGTGAGTTTTTTTGTTCAGTCACACTTATGTTCTTGACTAGGGCTAGCGCATCGTTCCACACCATTAGTGTCGAAGGTAAAAACCCTGCTGGGACTGTTGCTTTAGTGCACCGTGGCCTTAGCTTGGTAAATTGGTACCTTGAAAGCGAAGTTAACGATGAATAGGCAGCCGATTAGAAATCTAAGTCGAGGTGGTTACTGGTGCATGCATGAAGTAAAAACCATTAGAAAGGGCGTGGAACTCATCAAAAGGGACGTCCTCTTGTTCTTTGATTTCCTCGTCAACACAAACGCTCTCTTTGCTGAACGGCTAGAGACTCAGACGGTGAGAGGGAGGGGAGGCGTGCTACGGCGCAAGCGGCGCGAGGACGGCCATGCTAGATGCCAGAGGCCATAAAGCTGCAATTGGCGTGTTGGCTCGCATCCTTAGGGAGTCCTCGTCCTTACATTAGGTAGGCTTCCCCTTTCTCGGCCCACATCATATCGTGGAATCCTCCTGTGCGCTGTCAAAGATAATAAAAAGGATAAAGGATAAAGCATTTGCCGTTGATCAATCCCTTTTTGGGATGCGGCACGCATTCTACTTCCATTTGTACATTCGCAGTGGCATTTGAATGCGATGTGGCCTATACAATGACTTGCGGGGGCCAGCCGATGTTCAAGTCAGTGTTTTTATCCTCCCAGACAAGTCTGGTACCAATTAACCGACCCCGGAGGGATGGAAGGCTTGGTTGGCCCGGGCGACTCACGACCCAGGATTTGATCCCGGACCGCTCGCGTGGTGAGCGCGCCACTTGTCACTGCACCACTTCCGCCCTGCAAAAATATAACCTACTAAATTCTTTATCGAGTATATTCCTGCTACCATTATGGTTGAAAAATTACCGTACTGCTTAGCTAGCTGCCTGTCCAAGCCAAGAGCACTGGAACAGATTGTTCAAAATGTCATTAAACGCCGTAAAGAAATGCGGCCTCAATTCCAGGGATCATCGCCTTCGACCAGGAGATCATGTATTGCAAATCGGTAACATCAGCACACACGGTATGAGCAGTCAACAGGTGTGTCCATGGGTGTTCAGAAGGCTTGGCTCACTTTTTCTTCACCTTATTTGCTGCCATTGATGTACCAAAGGGTCTGTGACATTAGGCTTCCGATTTGTGCTATTAGTATTGCAAATGGCTCCCGCGCCACGTAGCTCTCTTCCTTTCAGCGGTTACATCAGAAGCTCACGGCACCAGCGACTCGCATGCTGTAACGCATTGCTTATCTGGCCGATTAGCTCTAGGGCGAGCGCGAAGCGAGCCACACCATGCTGTAAGGCAGGATGGCCACTCTGAGCGGACGGGAAAGGTGACGTCCAGGTGCCTCAGTACTAGCTGATGGAAGTAGGGGCAGTAGAGCATTATACCCAGGTCACTGCTTCTTGTCAGAAACCACCGTTCCTTCGCCGACCTCTCACGGTGGTGGGGGACTGGAATTGACCTGGTGCCCTTATTTTATTTTTTAGGTGGCAGCGATTCTTCGACAACAGGACACAATCGTGGAAATGATTGTTGGACGGCCAATCAACTATGCCGATCGACCACCTGATAAGCAGCGGTCATAACACATGTTCTCCCCACAATCCTTTCCCGTCACACATCCTTCTTTACCAAATCGAATTTTATTCATTTTTTCATCTTTTATTCACGGGCATTTCTCTGTACAGTGCTTTTGCGAATTGGCAAAGTGTATCCGGCAAGGGATTCAAATCCTCAACTGCTCAGCCGCATCAGTCGCTAGCCGAGTGTGAGGCAGCATACGGGCATCATGATGAACTCGGAAGAACCGGGTATGAACGTCTTGTCTATCTCGAGCCACCGTCGTCAGAGCACCCTTCACTATCGCAGCGAGGCCGCGTGAGACTAGGTCATGGCGGAGCGGCAAGGCGCGGTAATTAATCCTCGCTAAGCGCCTAATCCATGTGCGCCCAAGTGCTGAAAGTGGCGCGACCACGCCCAGCACAGGTCAACCCGTTGCGTTCGACACACGCCTCCAACGCGACCACGAGCAGTAATGCGCCGGATCGCAACGCTCAGGGCGCGCGGGGGGCCACCCAGGACACCACCCGAGACGCGCCTCGCGGCGTGGCCGACCCCGTGATCCGCCGCGCGCAAGAGCCGTCGACACACCCGCGCTCCACTCGTCGCTCCAGATGTCGGCTCCACGTAAACGGTTGACCCTCCGCGCCAGCCTGTCGCGAATCTCGCGTGTGGCACTCCTCTTGCCACCAACGGCCACTGAACCCTTTACTCTCCCTCCACACCACGAGCGCTCTGCCGTCCTCAGCCCGCCCCAGTGTCTGAGACTATCCGACAACTCACCCTGCGCACGTCACGCGCGTCCGCGGCCGCTACTCATCCAGTAGCGTCAACACTCCGCCCGGTTCAACACCAGCCACGTCTTCGCTCCCCCGAAAACCAACATGACAATGCAAGGCCATCCTCGAACACCGCACGACTCCAGCCGACCTTTGCCTCCCACATCCTCCCTAACTTCTTATCAATCTCTCCATTGTTTTGATAAGAGGCAAGGCTGATGGTTGAGAGTTTCTTATGATAACGATGCAATTCTATCTTTTCCTTCAAGTTTCTGTTGGCCTACGCTCCTTGATCTTTAGCCCTTCGCATTCATTTTATCCAGCGCTCTACAGTCGATATCCGAAAGTTGGGGTGGGTGTGTCACCGGAAGTGACGTGCACTTGATAGAAGTTGCGTGGATAAGCTGTTGCCAGCATGCTTTGCTGATATCCAGCGATGTATGTTGGAAGCAGCTTATCCACATAGCTTCTATCAAGTGCACGTCACTTCCGGTGACACGCCTACCCCAACTTTCGGATATCGAGTATATGTCGAGACCTCTCCATTAGAAGCACTACCATTGAAATCAGTCTACTACAATTCAAATTTTCATTTTCTCGCTTTTGAGACACAAACCGCGATCAACTAATTGTCATTAATGCGCTGTAAAAATGATGAATAGGCTGCGAAGTTCGATTGCTGCAGAATAGAACTGAGCGAACGAACGGACCTGTGGTTAGTGACGAGAGAGTGCAAGGGACGAGCACGATGCAAACACCCAACGCACTCGGATGCTCACAGATCATGGGATGTGCATGGGTGTAAGCCGCGAGCTCTTAGCACCCCCTCTAAGCAGCTTTGCTTCGCGAAAGTGGCATCATCTTTGCGATGTTGTGCCTACTCCTCACCTATAAGAATCCATTTTTCTATTCAGCGGGATAGTATTTGAAGGCAAGATTCGGGATAAAATAGGTGTGGAAAAGCGTTCAGTTATGAAGCTAGAGGTGGGAGGTGGTCTGTAAAAGAGAAGGAAAGCAAACGAAACCACCGATTACGCCCCGCACAGAGACCTCCCCTATTTCAGCCGCATTCCACCTTGGGATAGAGAAGGGCGCGTTGGACGAGTTTCACGAACCTAACTCTAGTTGCTCCAGTGCCAATGACATTGGGTCGCAATGGGACCGCTGCCTCAAATGCGCCCGCGCTTTTCAAGCAGCGCCACGTGGCAACCGACAGCGGAGGGTGGGGCTTGCGGACGAAGGTGTGAGTTGCGGGTCGGACGAGCTCCTTGCGCCTTTGTCGCGCACTTTCAAGCCGCAAAAGGGGCGCGACATCAACGCTTGTCCGCCTGCCTACTACCCCCGGGATGGAACAGGCGAGCGCGCCTAATCCCGGAGCGTGCCTTTAAGAAGTTAGTATATTTGAAATAAAATCCTGAAAATCAAGTTCAAAGCATTTTGAAGACTTCCGCAACTTTCTTAGGATTAAGAAGTTTCCAATGTTCTTAGTGCTAACATGATGTCCAGCGTTCTTCAACGTGCCCCAAGAAGCCCGGGAACCGTGGGAAAAAGGGAAGTCAATGAAGTGCCATGGATGTAGGAAGGTACAAAATTTTCCCACCACAACGCTAACCCTGTTTCAGTTACTCAAAGAAAATATCGTTGCTGCAATAACATTTGATTGGGCATGGATTCGCTAAGGGAGGGCAAGGTGGTCTTGATTTGGATTAATCACTGGCAAATTGGTTCCGTAAACAGTCGACGAAAACAACATTCAATTTCTTCTCGATGTCGTCGTGTACAAGCCGTCGACTCGAGGTTCTCTTCATAAGGCCATACCATCATCTACCGCTCTTTCTTATATATGAAGGACGGCTTTATAGACCCTGACAGCGCCAAGCAATTATTTACAGGTGTCCCAAAATTATGGGCGCTCAATCACTGCGATGCTTTGAAGCTTCTAGACGGAGAACGAAAGTGAAATAAGTCCATAATTTTACTTGCATTATATACAACAATTAGCAACAGTCAAATCTCAAAATGCCCCCCATCGCGGCGCGAACACAAGCTCGCAGTCTCTTCTTTAAACTCGTCGCACGTTGCACGCAGGTATCCTTCATCCAATTCTTCCCAGGCTTTCTCCAGTGCTGCCTTCACAGTGACTCCAAATTGCGATGACGAACCAACGACAGGCCTTGCTTTCAATCACGGACCACACTGAGAAGTCGAGTGGGGTTGAGGTCTGGGGAACAGGATGGCCATTCTTCGGCGGCAATGAAATCTGGCAGCTCCCGGCGGCACCACTCTTTGGAACGAGCTTCGCTCTATGGGCTGGAGCACTGTCTTGTTGGAAACACCACGTATTGCTCGGACACAGTGGGAATCGAGGTCCAAGCACACTGAAGCGTTCACCAATCATATCGTTTAGGGAATAGTCTTTGATTGATAACCCCGCCAGGATAGTAATAGGTCGGCTTGTTGATCTCAGACGCCAGGATTCGGACGAAAACCAAAGGTCGTGTCTTCACCATCGGCGGTAATTCTCCCCAAACCCATGTTACTGGAACGGGTTGCTGTCTTTCCCAAGTAAGCTTTCCGCATGAAGATAGTGCTCTGTCTGTCTCCTGGCTGTGATGCGATCCGTTATCTGGCGATTCAGGGACCGGCTCTTATCGTAAAAATTTTTTGCGTCGGAAAAAGAGGATGGAAGCGGTGCGTGCCTCCACTGAAGCGGGCCAGCAACCTTTTGCATTTTTCGACCCTGCGTTTTTTATTGGCATCAGAAAGGAAGTGGCACTTTTGCATTCGGTAGGAATGGCAATGCAGTTTCGCTTTCACAATCCGGCCCCATCGATGACTTTGAAATTTCCAACTCCCTTGCCATTCTTCTTATGGAGCGCCGTGGATTTACGTTTAACTCGAGAACGGACCGCTCTAATCATCCTATCCGTGGAAACACTGACCTTTCTTGCTCTTCCTGGTCTGTCCGTGACTGCTCCGGTCTCCCTGTACCGTTTGATGGTTTTCTGCACAGTTCTTATTGGAACCACAAGGGATTTAGCAACGTCTCTTGATGTCGCTCCTGCTTCATGCATGCGGACGATCGCGAGTCGCATCGGATGAGCTCATATCTTAAATTTACCAGGAGTTTCACCCAGGCAGCATGCAAAATTTAAGGAGGCTTACCTATGCAACCAATTAGCAGTCAATGAAAGTAATGTAATCAATAACGTTTCATTAGTGAGCGTTTGAAATCTGGCGCCCATAATTTTGGGACACCCTGTATTTTAACGGTTGATCCCAGCAATAACATCTCCCAGCTTTTTGCGGCTGATCAGGACCCATCAAAGTGATGTTCTGGCCACAGAAGTTGCTTCCGGAATGTCCACCATGGAAGCATAAAGCTTAAAGCATCTTGCGTGTTCTCCATGCCTGTCTAGAATTTTTGGGAATACGCCACGCATTTCATTTTCACTTGAGCTCGTAGTGGCACTTGAAGGCGATTGGCCCATACGAAGAAGTTCGGAGGTCAGCCGATCCTACAAACCATTGATTCCATAGTCGCTGAACTGGAACCAAATTTGATTGATCCTGCAGAATGCGAAAGCAGCGTGCGGTCCGGGTCCGGCGTAACTTATCGCTAAACGCGCGCCTTGCCTGTTACAACCATTTTTGCGAAAAGTGCCCATCTGTAGTGTGGGGCAATGTCCTGCTGATATTGCTTTACCCTTTACTGCAGTCTAGCGAGAAAACGAGTTCAAGTAGTCGCAGCAAAAGGAAGTATAAAGCCATGACTACCTGAAAATATGTCCTTAGGTTCAGATAAATTGTATAGGTCATCTTTCTCCCGCTCCAAAAGTTGTCTAATCCCGCCTCAGGGCTTCGTTAAGGGAGCAGAAAGTGTTATCGTCGCTTTTCAATGGCAAACACGATGTGCTCAACGAGAAGTTCTGGAAATAATCCGGAATCCACAATATAAAACTGCACACGGCTTTCTTACAAGTCGCACATGGTTTTTCACCGGGATTTGCCCAGGACCCCATGCGAACCCGTGTCACGGTACCTTCCTTGACACCAGGGTGAGCCTTGTGCCGAGAAAATTTGGGAGCCTTCCTCCTCTTCCCTTCTCAAGCTGGAGTACCACAGTCCCCGCGATGCAACCCAGGTATGTACGAACTCAACCTCCCCTACGGGAGATTTTGTAGAGCTTTCAAAGCGGTTGGTTGTCCTACCTCAACTAAGCGGAGAGAGAGGAGAAGGGGGAGGGG